CTGTTGTGCTAGACCCTGAAGGATAAAGCTAAATAATATATAGTTCCTGTGGCCAAGTTGTTTACAGTCTTAAAGGGGAGAGGAGCCATATACACAAATAACTAGAATTTAAGGGAAAATGTGATTAAACACCATTTGAATAGTATACATGAGGCTCTGTATTAGGGGGGGTTTTAACCTTTTTTTGTGCCATGGGCCCCTTTGACAGTTTGATAAAACCTATAGACCCCTCCCAGAATAATGTTTTCAAATACATAAAATAAAACATATAGGATTACAAAGGAAACCAATTGTATTAAAATTGTTATCAAAATATTTTTTAAAAATAAGTTCATGAACCACAGGTTAAGAACCTTTGCTCTATAGGTTTTGAAAAGGAGAAGTCACTTCTGGTTCAGGGTATCAAGGAAGGCCTAATGGAAGAGGCTGCCTTTGAGCTAGGATTTCAAGAATATGTAGGATTTTAAAAAGCAGAGATAGAAGGGAATGAGATAAAAATTCCTTGCAGAGCACATGGTATAAGCAAAGGTGCAGAGAATGGAAACTGAAAGTTTTGGAGAGTGAGTAAACAATTTGGTGGTAACATGGCTACATAAAAAGAAGTTTGAGGGGCTAAGACTGGGAAAGGTAGGTTAGGGCTAGATTATGGTGGATCTTCAATGGTTAGACTAGATGAATTCTAAGGTTCCATTTGGCTCTAGATGTATGATGTTATGAGTGACACAATAAAATGTTTAGACTTTACTCCCCATTTGTCATTGAAGGTTTCTGAGCACGGCAGTGACATAATCAGACCATGTTTTAGGCCTATCAATCAATTGGGGCATGGCTGAACTATTTGTGGTATATGAATGTGATGGAATACTAATATGCTATAAGAAATAATGAAGGGGATAGTTTCAGAGAAACCTGAGAAGATCTATATGAACTGATGCAGAATAAAGTAAGTAGAACCAGGCAAACAATTTATACCAAAACAACAACATTGTAAAACCATACAACTTTGAAAGATAAGAACTCTGACCAACACAATTATCAGTCCGGATTCCAGAACATTGGTGATGACACCTCCTGACAGAGTGGTGATTGACTAAATATGCAGAATGAAACACACATTTTTTTTAACATAGTTAATATGAGAGTTTTCTATACTTGACTATACATATTTGTTACAAGGGGTTTTTTTATTACTTTTTTTTCTGAGGGGACAGTGGAAGGAGGGAGGAGAGAGAGAAAATAAATGCTTGTTAAATTAAAAAACCAAAATTTAATTTAAAAATTTTTATAAAAGTTAAATACTGGGGGGAGGGGAAACCTTGTATTTTAGGAAGGTTAATCTGTCAGCCATGTGTACGAAGGGGCAGACATTGGAGGTAGGGAAACTGAAGGCTACTGTAAGTAATCTAGACAAAAAGTAACAAGAGCCTTACCCAGAGCAGTGAGGAGAAGAGGGAACAGATTACAGTAATATCTTGGAGACAGACTCTAGGACTTCCCTACTTATTGGATTAGGATAGGGATCAATGTAGGAATAGCAACCCAAAAAAGGGGATTATTGAAGAAGACTTTAATGTTGAAAGCCTTGGTGCCTTGAGGAATGTTGTCTGTTAACAAAAACAGATGAATCAGAAAGAAGAAGAGCATTAAAGGGAAAGAGGGGTTTGGTTTTGGCTTTCCTGGCTCCACTATTCTTATCCTATATTCTGATAATTTGGATCATTTCCTTTTGTCTTCTCAATTTAGCCTCTCTCGTAAGTAATTTTCCCAAGAACCCCTCTTTGTCCTTCACCAATCCATTCCTTTCATCATTAGCTCACCTGCCCCAGATAGAGGTCCCATACTCTTAAGATTATAAGATTATTGATTTGGGATTGAAAGGGCCCTAGGTGGATTTCTAGTCCTTACTCTTTTTACAGATGAAGCTGAGACCTATCCAGGGAACATGACTTGCCCCAGCTTCTCATAGCCTGAATCCTTGATAATTATTGCAATATCCCTTTTCTAGTATTAAAAATATTTATTTGCTTATTAGTTATGCTTATGATAGAGAGTGCATTAAAGAAGAGCAATGAACTTGGAATCAGGAGAACGAAGGTAAAATCCTAGTTCCATTAATTAATAACTGCGTGATTATGGACAAATCACAACGACTTTGAACCTCAGTGTCCTCATGCATAAAATGGGGATTAATAATACTTTCAGTACCCTATTGTACTGGGTTGTTGAGAGGAAAGCATTTTTAAAGAATTAAAGCATTATATAAATATAAATTATTATGATACTTTCTTTCGACAAAAATCACAGTTCCTAGATATTATTGATATATTTTGAAAAGAATTAGAGTTTTATAAATATAAATTATTATGATGATTTCTTTTTTAAAAACCCACCACTGTCTCTTATAAATTTTAAAATCCTATGACAGCACATTTACATTTTGTCTACTCTTAATAGTTTCTCAATCTACCATAACTTTTTTTTTGAGGAGAGAGGGGTTGGAGGGGGGTTCCTTTTATTAGTTTTTTTAAAAAAATTAAACTGTTCTTGAAACTTCATTCAAAAACTAAGCTTTCCTAGAGAGTTTTTAGCCTAGAAAAAATAGTTTTTGCATGCTAGAACTGCTAACTTAGGCTGGATCCCTCATAGACCTTTGTGGCACTGACTCAAGCCATTAATTTCATAAGCACCTACATAATGTTATGGGGGGGATATTTAAAAAGCCATAAAAAACCAGGTAATTGCTATACATGTCCCTACAGTCCTGACACAGTAATAACTTGCATACAAATAAATTCCTTGATAATGCATGTACTACAGGCAAAGTATATGAAGTGGCATAGGGAAGTGAGCAGAGCTCAAGAAGTCAGAAGACTGAGGTTCTATACTTTTTCACCACTCACAATGGCAGGCATCTTCCAGCACCTTGTATTTTGGTTATTTATGAACATCATATCTCAGCAAACATATACTAAACTCCTTGAAAACAGATGATATTTTACATGTAATTGGGGGGAAAAATAAAACAGTATTTTAAAAAAAAAGCAGATGATATGTTTTATACATATAACCATAATCCAAGATCCCAAACTCTGGTTTTATCCAAGTTCAGAGTTCAATCCTGGGAGCTCCCTACAAATCTTATCTTTGACTTGTTCTTCTTTGCAGATTCCCCCCTGGGACTATCAGACTACTCATGGTTAGGTTTCCAAAGTAAAATGTCCCTCATCTCTTGTGCAATCACTTGAGCCATCATTCTATTCTCAGTCTATCAACTATCCATCATCTATCTCATTACACATATATATTAACATATATGTATATACAACAGTGTTCTGATAAATGTTTAACAACTAGGTCTCTGAAAAAATAAACATGACACAATTTATATTTAATCGTTATTATTAACATTTTCTCTATTACTTTCTTAAATTTAGATGATGACAAAACAATAACTCAAGTCCTTTTTGTAACATTTGTCAATTTCCTGACCCTGGTTGAAGCTGGCTCCTGCACAGCTCTGCTGATAAGGGTTGCAAATACACTTAGCCTGGGTACTTGTTAGTTAGTTAGCATTTGGTTGGGCTAGGGTTATTGTAGTTTTTTCTTCAGCATGAGGGTGAGAAAATCATCCATCTTTTTTGCCCTACTCACACAGCCTCTACCCTCATTCAGATTCTCATAATTTTTTCTCAGAGATTATTATAAAAGCCTCCTAATAGGTCTCCGGGCTTCTAGTTGGTCTCCTCTCTGACCTAGCTTTGAATGCACCTGCCAAACTGATATTCCTGAAACACAGATATTCCTAAAACACAAATCCAACTTTCATACTCAAAAATGTTCAGTGGTTCCCTAGGGCCTTTAGGCAAAATCTGCTGATATACATTGAGACACATATTATGCTTCCCTCAAGAAAATAATAACAACTGACATTTGTACTGCACTTCGAACTTGTGAATTTGCACAAAACTTTTAAATGCATTTTCTTATTTGAGTCTCACAACCTTGTAAGATGAGAAAACCAAGCCTTAAAGAGATCAAGTGACTTTTCTATGGTCACACAGCTGACTGAAGTCTTTTTAACTACAAGTCTACTACACTATGACCTTCCACAGAATTATGTGTTTCAGGGAATCGTGTGACCTCATGAAAGGAAAAAAACCAGAGTCTATATGTTTTTCTCTTATTTTGTCTTTCTCAGCTGTTATTCTCTCCTGTAGGACCTGTACTTTTAAAGTATAAGTTTAAGAGTGCGGTTCAAGTATATATTAGCCAGATTCAGTCAATTATTCCCTAAGGCAATGATTCAATCTGTTCTTCTCCAATGCCAGGATTTAATTCCCCAGTGCTTCAATGTGGTATCAATCACAGTGCCTTGCTTTACACATAGATGACACTCAAACAAAGGCAGAGCATAGTGAATAAAGTTGATTGGTGCTGAATTGAGAATCTGAAAAATCTATATGTAAATCCTGCTTCTGATAATAGTTATTTGATCATGGACAAGTCCCTTATCTTCCCTGAGCCTCAGTTTTCTCATTTGTACAAAGAGGGTTTAAACTAGTCATCCTCTACAAAGCCTTTCTAGCTCTAGATCATTGATCTTATAAAAGTCAACCAGGCTCCTTTTGGCCACAACCTCCACATTTAAAGCACTTTGCTTGATTGGTAGTGCAATTATTCCCATTATTATCCCCACTTGACAGATGAGAGAATGAGGACCAGAGATGTTACGTGACTTATCAAAAGTCTCAGCTAATTAGTAGCTCAATTTAGAGTAGAGTCCAGGTTTCTTGACTCCTAGATTATTGCTTTTTCTACCATTATACATTGTCTGCTGATCAGATAGGTTTTTCCCTTCCTTTCCCCAGATATACTTCATTGAATAGTTTTTTCTTCAGCACGGAGAAGCATTCACGTTATCCTGTCCACTCATACAGCCTCCCACTATCCTATTCTGAGTCTTCATTACCTCTGTTGGGAAAGAAATACCAAGAGATAACTTCCAAGCATCATCCTTTATTAGCAAGGCTAGCAATTGCCAATAAATGGAGCAAATGGTCTCTCAATGAGCAAAGACCCCAAGTTAGGGATGGTAGGATCTTTTATAGTGATTAACAAGATGACAGAGCCAAATTTCCAGCAACACAGGTGTGTCTTCTTCTGATTGGCTAGATGTTTCAGTGAGGAAGTGGGATGAGTCATCTCAGCTCCTTCCCATAACATCATTGGAAGATGAGATTGATCCTTAGGTGAAGGGATTAGTCTAGCAGAGGTTCCCAAAGTGGACCAAAATGTCTCCTGGGGGTGGCTGGAATTATCCAGGTGGTCTGTAGTAGCCTAGGATGCAACTGGAGAGCAATGAATAAGGTGGCAGTGGAAGCACAAGGAAAGAAGAGAAGAGAAGAAAATTTTGAAGAACCATTCCCACATGTTTCATCTGTTATGTAACAATTAGATTACATTATTTTCCAAATAAACACACAAGATACAAGTTATAACTAATCAGTGGTGAAATCCCCTGACAAGTCTTAACAAGCAAATGTTGGCAGGCCAGCATGTCATGCATTGTCAGAAAGTACAGCATGCATAGGCAGGAATATGTGCGTGTAATGACTTGTTTACAATATGATACTATACAGTTACATGATGCAATATTGCATCATCAAATTTCAATGTAGGAAAAACCCCACAAATTTATAATAAATTATTAAATTTAAGATCATTTTTAAAAAAAATATATTTTTTGAAATGATGCAAATTAAAAAAACAAAACATTAAAGGGTTAAAGGTTTCCAGGGGGAACACTGAGCAATTTTTTTTGAAAAGGGAGTGGTAGGCCAAATAAGTTTGGGAACCTCTGATCTACAGGCAATGGGAATTGCTACCACAGTTTTAAATTGATGAGACTGACCTTTAGGTTAATCAAGTTTCTCTGGAAAGTGGGTGATGGGTGAAGTTACAGGAATAGTGGTTTGTTGTTGTTGTTCATTTGTTTCAGACTTATCTGACTCTTCTTGGCAAAGATACTGGAGTAGTTTTCCATTTCCTTCTCCATTACAGATGAGGAAACTGAGGCAAACAGGGTAAAATGACTTGCCCAGAGTCACACAGCTAGTAAGTGTCTGAGGCTATATTTGAACTCAGATGTTCCTGATTCCAAGCCTGGTGCTCTATCCACTGTGCCACCTTGCTGCCACTAATAGTAGGGGTACAAGTCATAATGTAAGGGTGGGGGTACAAGTCACAAGAGTAGAATCATGACCCAAGTGACTTGAGGTAACCTGAGTGAACTTGAAAGAGTGGGGAATTTAGGCATATATGATGAGGGAGAATATTAAATCTATGTTAGCTTGATTAACAAAATAAATTAAAATCAATTTCATACCTCTTTCCTGGATCTCCTAATTGATCTGCTTCTAGCCTCTTCCCTCTCCAATCTGCCCTCCATAAAGCTGCCAGGGTAATGTTTCTATAATGTAGATGTCTCCCATTCTCTCCTCTTCTCAGAAATCTTGAATAGCTCCAGTCAACATATAAAATCCTCAACCCAACATCTAAAGCTCATAGCAATATGGCTCACACCTCCATTTCCAGTGTTATTTTATATTACTTTCCCTCACACTGGTCTCCCAGCTGTTCCTGGTAAACAACATTCCATCTCTCTCTGCCACGCCTTTTGTACATCCAAGTGGTCCCTCATGTCTGGAATATACTCCTCATACCTCTCAGAACCCCTAGATTCCTTCTGAGCTTTGTTCCAAAAGAGGGATTTGGAATAGGGAGAGGGTTGAAGATGATGGTGGGAGGGCAGGAAATATGGAAGAAATGTGTAGAAATAGGAAGGACATGATAGATTCCTATTAAATTTTAGTGGAATTGAATTGAATTATTCGAACTATTTAAAATCCTCCAAGGGGTGATCTTTACTTTTTATATTCTGAAAAATTTAGATTATCTGAGTTTTAGTAGCTGTATTCTGAGCTTGCATAGTTCTGAATTTCTCAAATACCCTTATTTAAATGAACCTTAACTTTCACTATGGCACAGGGATGTTTATCAATTTTAGAGAGACTTTGCCATAATTTTACCTTAAGAAAAAAAATCCTAGGAGTATTTTTGCTTTTGAACTCTTTCAAAAGTCTGTTCCATGATCAGATCCTTCCGTGAAGCCAACCACATAAATCCCTCTGATATCAGGACACTAGGTAGACTTTCTGAGGGCTGCAGACCACAGCTGTTTCTTGCACTTGTTTTGTGACCTTAAAAAAAATTACAGAACATGCAGACACCACCACAGGTCACTCTACAAGCTCCCCATTGCTGTGAATGTGGGGGTTATCTGAAATTGTTAGATCCACCTTCTTACTATTGGCCCTATATCTAAGGGAATGATGTCATGGAGAGAGGGGCTCCAAGAGTGTACATCTGATTCAATTCAATTCAGTTATTGAAGCGAGAAGCCAACTATGAGGTCAAGCCTTCAGAAGAACTGTGCATCAGCTGTGTTTGGACATTCACTATGGATAAATAAGGACATGATTCAATATGTCAAGAGCAAGGGGGCCTTGCACGTGGCAGGGCAGGCGACACGTCTATCTGCTCTGTTGTGATTTCAGGGATAACAGAAAGAACCAGGCTTACATTTCCTTCTCAATCAATCAATCAACATGCCCTACATTGTTTTAACTTGGAACAAAGCTTTTCATTCCATAATTAGAAATAAGGCTTAAAATGCCAGCGCTGCTGAAAAGATAGCATTTTGCTTAAACATATGTATATGATTGATATCTCTTCAACTATTAATGCTCTCTTTTTACTAAACTAATTTTTATGCAACTTTGTACATAATTTGCATTTGTTTACCCATATATTTGTTAGAATAGAACATAAACTTCTTAAAAGTAGGAATTGTTTTGTATCCTTGCATCTTTAGAGGACCATCTCCACAGCCTCCTGGATCACCACCTCTTGCCCACCTCAGAGATGCTCTTGATGAAGGGGTTTATAATGTGGGATCCATGCACAGATGTTAGGGGGTCTGTGAACTTAGAGGGGGAAAATACACCTTTATTTTCATTAACTTCTAACTGAAATCTAGCATTTCTTCTAATTATTAATGGGCAGCTAGGTGGCACAGTGCACTGGGCTTGGAATCAAGAAGGCTCACATTTATGAGTTCAGATCCAGCTGTGTGACCCTGGGCAAGTCACTTAACCTTGTTGACCTCAGTTTCCTCTTCTGTAAAATGAGCTGGAGAAGGAAATGGCAAACCATTTTAGTATCTTTCCCAAGAAAACCCCAAAATGGGGTCACAAGAATTGGACACGACTGAACAATCAATTATTAATATAGGCAACAAAACATTATCATAAGACAGGGTTTATATAGGCTTCACAAGACTGCCAAAAGGGTCGATAACACCAAAAATGTTAAGAACCTCTGGCCCAGAGGAAATTCTGCCCAGTGGTTCTCCTTATCGCCTGTCTGACTAGTGAGTATTTCAGCAAAGTCCTAGCTATGATTCACTTCACGCTTCTCTCCTGCCAGTTACTCCATAGCCTCCTGATCCTTAGCATTTACACCCTTCCCTCCTCTGTCCAGTTCTGGAATCTTGAACCATGTGGTCAAATCAACTCTGCCATTTTTCCTATGTGGACTGTGTCAATCTATTATTCTATTGTGTCAATAGAATATATCTGTCAATCTATCTTTTTAAAAACTTTTTTTAATATTTAATTACATGTAAAAGTTTTTAACACTTCTTTTTTAAAATCTTGAGATCCAAATTCTCTCCATCACTCCCCATCCCCCTCATTGAGAAGGCAAGCAATTTGATATAGGTTATACATGTGCAGCCACGCAAAACATTTCCATATTAGACATGTTGTGAAAGAAAACACAGACAAAAAAAAGCCAACCCAAACCCAAACCAAACCAAAGAAAAATAGAGTTGGAAAAAAGTATGCTTCTATTGTGTTCAGACTCCATCAGTTCATCCTTTGGAGGTGGATACTATTTTTCAATTGGGGAATGACTTGTATTCTTAAAAATTTGATTTGGTTCCCTATCTATTTGAGAAATGAGGCCTTTATCAGAGAAACTTGCTAAACATTTTCCCCCAAGTTGTCTGCTTTCCTTCTAATCTTGGCTACATTCAAAAACTTTTAAATTTAATATAATCAAAATTATCTATTTAATAACCCATAATGCTCTCTATCTCTTGTTTGGTCATAAATTCTTCCCTTATCCATAGATCTGACAGATAAATTATTCCATGCTCCCATATAATATTACCTTTTACGTCTAAATCATATACCCATTTTGACCTTATCTTGGTAATGGTGTGACATGTTGGTGTCAGTCTTTCTTTATGTATGTCAATCTAGTTCCCTTACCATCCCAGTAGCTTTATGAATCAAAGTGCACCTGCCTAGTCACCAACTCCCCAGTATGCTATCTCTAGTAAGATCGTAAGCTCCTTGCAGAAGTAGTTGGTTTTTTTGTTTCGTTTTGTTTATCCCTAGGACTTAGCACAGGTTTTTTTTATTCATTCATGCTTTGTACCCCCACCGTGGAACACAATGCCTTGTATATTAGATACCTAATAAATACGTATTGAATTGTTGAATGATATCGGCTCCGAGGCAAAAAATTGGCACAGAAAGATTAAGGAAGAGCAGAAGTGGGGCGCTGGCAGAAGAAGGTGAAGAGCAGAGAAAGAGGAAGGGGTAATGTAGGGAAAACTTGGAGAAAAACTTACTGACCACAAGACCAAAGTCTTCACTTCAGAACTTCAGAAATATTTGTAAAGAAACAACTTCCCTGGCTTCCTTCAAGTCCTAGCTAAAATCCCAAGTTCTACAGTAGGAAGCATTACCTGATCCTCTTTAATGCTGGTGCCTTCCCTCTATTGATTATCTACAATTTGTTCTGTATATTCCTCATTTGTACATAATTATTTTCATGTTATCTCCCCAATTAGACTGCTAGCTCCTCAAAAGCAGGAATTTTTTGTCTTTCTTTGTATTCTCAGCTCTTAGCACAGTGTCTGGTACATATATAAGCTTGATAAATATAATCAGCTTAATAAATGCTTATTGACTAACTGCATGAGCCCATTTCCAGGATTGTGGAGAACCAAAAAGGTGGATACATAGAAAAGGAATATCAGACAACATTCTTGTTCCCCTAAAACTTATCTCTTTGGTCTGACCAGACACAGCCAAAAAATTTTTAATAACAATAGAAAGCAGTCTATTGTTGCTCAGTCCTTTGGACTCTTTGGCACTCCATTGGGCATCTTCTTGGCAAAGATACTGTAATGATTTGACATTTTCTTCTCCAGCTCATTTTACAGATGAGAAACTGAGGCAAACAGGATTAAGTGACTTGCTCAGGATCACAAAGCTAGCACCTAAGGCTGGATTTGAACTCCATTCTTTCTGACAGGTCTGGTGATCTAGCCACTGTTACCACCTAGCTGCCCCAGAAAGCAGTATGGTGCCATGTAATTAAAGGAGAAATAGAGAAGCACACAGACACTAAAGCGGAAAACAGTTAATGTAGTCGGAGGCAGTGAGGTATGCCAAAAAGGATTTGGAGTCAGAAGACCTGAATTTGAATCCAGATTGATTCATATCCTAGGAGGGAAGCCTTTACTTAGGAAACCATAATCAAAGCTCTTCTGTTAATACAAGGACCTCATTTCCATCTTACATCTTTAATCTGTGTTCTGACTAACCCTTCCCACTCAGATTCTGTGATGGTCTATTCTGTATTCAATTCTACAAACAAAGCAGAGGCATTATGCTAGTTAGGCCCTGAAATTTAAGATAATTGAAAACTACCAGGTCCCTAGTCCTTTAAGGTGTACAAAGCTCCTCTGAGCAGCTATGGATAAAAAACTGTGAGCCCCCAAAACGCAGGTTCGAGTCTTGCCTCTGAACCTGTTGGCTGAGTGACCGTGGGGGAGTTCCTTTGGGAGCCTTCCTTGAAAGTGGAAGTGCGTGGCCCCCTCACAGTGGGAGTGATCAAGAGTGGGGATGCCACTGATGTGCACAAAGTCTTCCCCACTCCCGGCCACCCAAGTCCTGGTGTTTCTGCTACCGAGGGAGTCATTGATGCTTTCTTCCTGACATTATTGCTATTTTAATAGGATTCCTTGGATGATGACCTGTGAGCCCCAGAAATCCGCATTAGGGTTCACGTCCGGCAGAGGAGGTGGGGGGGAGTTGCGCTCAGGACCTACACTCACTCCCCCGCTCAACAGATGGATTACCGGGGGGGCGGGGCGGAGAGGGGAGGGGGGAGTAACTGTCAAACCAGTCCTCTTGGCGCCATTATTTAAATAGTACGTGCCACACTCGTTGCTGTGCGTGCCGGGGGCGGGGCTCCGAACGCATTGGGAGGGTCCGGGAGGTGGAGGGAAAGAGAAGGGGCGGTGACGAGGGCGGGGCCAGGCTAGGGGAGGGAGCGGGACTAGCCGCGGCCCCCGGCGGGGTTCATTGCGCCTGCGCTGACAGTCGCAAGATGGCGGACAGTGCGGAACTAAAGGTAAAGCGCAGCTCGAATTCACTTCTAATATTCGGCCGCGGAGACGGCGCTGCGTGTACCTGGGGGAATGGGGCTAAGCCCCGGGGCCCGTCCGGATCCGGCACACCTGAGGCTGGAGAGGGGGAGCGGGGCGGGCTTGGGTCTGGCGGAGGGGGCCGGGCAGCGGCGGGCCGCGGGCCCCGGGCGGCTCGGGGGCGCTGACGGGTCCGGTCCCCGGCGTGTTATTGTTGTGGGCGCCTCGGGCGGGGGTGGCCGGGGAAGGAGGCGGGCAGTCGGAGAGCGGGGGTGCGGAGGCGGGGAGCTCGGCCGCGGCGCTGCCGGCCCTCTCTCCCCCAGCTCCCGGGCGGCCGGGGCTCGGGGGCGGCGGGGGTGGGTGCGGGTTTGGGGAAGCTCCCCGCCGCTTCCTCTTCCTCCTTCCCTGCCCCGGGCTCCTGTCAGGAGCTCGGCTGCGGCCCCCTCTCCCCTCCCCCGGGGAACTTGTCTCCGGCCGCCCCGCCCCTCTCCTGGCCTCCCCCTCAGCCCGGGACGCGGCTCTCCCCGGCCCGCCCGCTGCCGGAGGAGGCGCCTCGCTCTGCCCCCTCGGATGCGGGGAAGCGCGGTGCGTGGGGGAAAAGGAGATCCTCCAGCAAAGTTTAGCGAGCGCCAGGGCCCGCGCCGCCCGCCCCTTCCCTTCGTCCCCCTGGCCAGGGATTTCTGCCTGCTGTGGGCGAGCCCCCCGTCAAGGGTGCCTGTCTCCCCGGGGCTGGGGGGAGGCGACGCGACACCCCCATCCTCCTCGACCTCCTCCTTCTCCACCCCCCCCAGTCCCACGCGTGGTCCTCAGGGCGAGGTCAGCCTTTGGGGCGTGGGGTCTGTGCCCACCATGATGGCGATGCTCTTCCTTGATGGAGGTGAATGGTCGGTGTTTATATCCCCGGTTGCCTTTTGTTTGTTGGGGACATCTTGCTGGCCATGTTGGTTGGAACGAGCTCCTCTCCTCCTCCCCTCTCCAGCCCCCTCGTCAACAGCGCCTCCTCCGCGCTCCCCCTCCCACCTGTGTCAATTCCTCCAGCTGCGCGAAATGAAAGGCAAAAGCTTGACTTTTTCACGTCATTATTTTCCCGATAGACCTCCCCACTCTTCTACTTCTTTACCTGATGATTACTTCTGCACCGGAGCGAGTGCAGTGCTGCACGAGGGGGGTGGGAGGGGGTAGCCTAGGTAGGTGGTGAGGAACCGGCTCCTCATTGGATTTGGATATATGCGGTTCTGCTTCAGTAATTGTGTTTTAGTTGCTACGTGTTTAAGTTACCGAGCTGTATTTTGAGGCGTCGAACCGGATACTCCCTTTTCATAAGTGGCCTTACGTATGCAAACCAAGTAGCCGGCACTCTCCCGGCTCGGGGAGGGGGCTGACAATTTCTGTCAGAGACTTAAAATTGGGATGTATAATCGTAAAATCTTTGGCGGAAGCCTTATTTAGAATAATTGATAAGGGGAATTCCAGTCTGAGGTGAAAGACTAAGGTGTGTTACTTATGTTTTTCTTATAAAATTAAGCTTAAAAAAGTGTCCTGTATTTGGGTGTTTTTTCCCTCTCAGCAAAACCTTGCTAGAAAATAATTCCGTCCCCCTTCCCCAAATTACTTGTCAGTATAAAACTTCCTAGTATATGTTGATACATTAGCTTTCAGTTGTCATTACATCCTTTAGTTTATTTCTGATCTTACATTTATTTGAAAACATCTGAATTAGAGAATGTTCTATGCTTTCAAACGGGGGGGGGATTTGTGTAATGGGAACATCTAAAAAGACTAATCAGGAAGTCTTGGGAATTTGAATGTTTGGAGAACTTTAACTGTAAAAAGTACTTGAGACCAAATTCTCAGAAATTTTTCTGTAGGTTTACATACTTGCAAATATAGTCAATAGATTGCTGTGATCTTTGCCTTCTATTCATCATTTGGGAACTCTTTTGAATGTTGGCTAATGAGTTCTTTTATACATGGATCACAGAATAAAGCAGGAAAGCTTGTGCTCCCTATATTGTCACCCTTGATGCTGTCCTAAGAAGCTAGTATGCAAAGCACATGCTGGGGAGGTTTCCTTCTTTGTTCTTTCACATTTTAAGAAAATGCCTTTGGGGATAGAGCTGATCCCTGGTGTGATTTCTGTTAGGTAAATCTCTATTTACAAAAATGAACCAGTATTAGATTGAAGCTAAATATCTGAAAAGGAATTGTCATTTCCACACCCAAAAGAAAGGTATAAAATCTCTCTACAATCTCAGATATAAATTTCACATTCATTTTGTGCAAAGGAATTGTTGGTGCCATGATGTTCCTCTATTGTTTAATTTTAAGGAATTAATTGTTAAATAAACTATTTGACGTTGTGAGAAATACAGGAGGCTTAAAACTTGTAAGTGCTTGATTGATGTAAATCACACAGACAAATCATGTTAATATTTGATTGTAGTTTAATTTGTCGACATTTTAGGGATGGTCCAAACGTGGTGTTCCTTTAACTGAAAGATTTCTATGCATTGAGATCTAAACTACTTTTAGCAGAAATCTTGATTTCTTTTTAATGCTCAAGTTTTAAGAAAATTTCTGATATTCTGTTTTTTTTTTTTTTTAAGAAGGTGCAAGTAAACTTAAGGCTTTCTGTGATAAGTTAAGGGGCTTTTTTGGAATGCTGGGCAAAAATACTTTCTTAACAGTTCAGATCCTGAGGTTTTGAGCCCAATTCCTTAGCCCACAAACCCACAGTAGATTTTGCTGTTGACTATAGTCATGATTATTTTTTCACCTTTCTCTTTTCAGTGACCTCTTTTTAACTTATAATGGGCTTAAAAGATCAAATGGTTAAACCAGAGAGATCTTCATCACCTTTGCTATCAGTATTATACAAGCTACAACACTTAAGGATATTGCTAATAAAAATTAGATTGCAAATTGTACTACACATCAAAATGAATCTGGTCTTCACATTTGTTCGTAAAAAAAAAACAAAAATCTTTCATTAGAGGTCATCCATAAAAGATACTTGCAAAAATGTGGAGGGGAGTGAGAATTTTATTACACAAGCTCTTAGATCAGGAGGTTATAAGGGCCCAATTATTTTGGCAGTTAATAATTTGACAGCTTCATGTATCTCTACTTTGGTACTTTAAAAATATTTGTACAGATGTTTTCAACATTAAAACTCAAACCAAATAGTATTGCTGCTTTAACTCAGGAAAAGCAGTGGAAAAGGCAAGGCTTAATGAATTTTTTTAAAGGATAGAAGAATGTATGCATTTGGTGAGAATCTTTTTAGGATGACCTCTAAGGAGTAAGATTAAATTCTGTTGCTCAAACTCTTTTAAAATAGTAGCCACTTAATTTTAATCTTTGTGGTTTTAACTTATTTGCTTTTATTTTAGCTAGAAACGTACATTTACATCTGACAGTTTTCATGGATTTTATTTAAATTGTTATAACTTGCTTTTAAGTACCACATTTTGATAATTTTTATTCTGTCATCCTTGTTAAGAACAATATTTTAAAACAATTTCTAAAAACACTTCACTTTTCAAGTATTTCACATAATTGTTTTGAAATACCTCTTTTCCTTTCCTCCCCCTTTCTACTCCTTGGTGATTGTATTGTCTTTCTCTTCAGTGAGACCCTTGTAATCCCTGTTGATCGCAGTAGTGCTTAGTACTGGGTCCATAGCTGATTAAAACCTTGGGTTTCTGCTGGTGAACTCCGTCAACATGCTGCTCCAGGGTTTCTTGCTGAAGCTTTTGAAAGTTCAGGGTAATTGTACCCTTTCTTGCTGGTAGCTAGGGATAAAAATAAAGTGGGTCTGGTTGAAGTAGGAATTAGAAAGAATTATTGAGACCCCAGATTTGGGAGAGTCTTGTGGGATATAATTTTTTTTTAAGCCTGCATTTTGCTTCTTCATCATAGTAGTTTATATTCCTGTGTATTATCCTATTTTGATCATCAGAACAGCCCTGTGATACATGATTGAGCAGGTATTAATCCTTATATTACAAATTAGGAAACTGAGGCCCAGGAAGTTTTGTGACTTGCCCAAGATTGTCATCTCCTTTCCAGGACTGTTTCAACATCTACCAAAATTGGTCTCTCTACCTCTAAACCAAACTTCTTTTTCAGAGGTTCATAAAGTAGGCATACCACCCCTTGGAGGTGCCGGAATGATCTGGGGGGGGGCAATAGTAGCTTCTGGTGGGGGGTTGAATAAAAATAAGGGGATGGTAGAAGCATAAGAAAAGAAAATTTTGAACAACCATTCATACATGTTTCATCTGTTGTGTAACAAAGTTAAAGTGGTAGTAGTTACATTATTTTCCAAATAAACACACAAAATGCAAGTTATAACTGATCAGTGGTCAAGTCCACTGGCAGGTCTTAACAAGCAAGTGTTGGCAGGCGATTGTGTTGTGCATTGTGGGGAAGTCTAGCATACATTGGCAGGAATATGTTCCTGTGATGACTTATTTAATGCAATGCTATGTGGTTATATCGCACAATGTTGTGTCATCAAAATTTCAATGCAAGAAAAAACCTCACAAATTTATAATAAACTATTAAATTTAAGATGCATCATTAAAAATGTTTATTTTTTTTTGAAATGATGCAAATTTCCAAAAAACCATGAAAGGGTAGAAAGTAGATTTCTCGGGAGCTACTGAGCATCTTTTTTCAAGGGGGGGGGTGACGCGTAGGCCAAATAAGTTTGGGAACCTCTACTTCATACTATACTTAGGAGATTGGTGGCATAGTGGGTAGAGGGATAGGTCTAGAGTCAGGAAGTCCTGAGTTTAAATTTGGCCTCAGATACTCTGCTTCCATTTCTTCAAATGTAAATTGGGATAATAATAGCACCTATTTCTCAGGCTTGTTATTGTTAGGATCAAGTGAGATAATACTTGTAAAGCACTTAACACGATGCTTATATTAAATCCTTGTTCTTTTTCTCTTCTTTTCACCCCCTTCCCCTTAATACTGGTCTAATTTTTATAATGAACTACTATGATCAAATCATTCACCTGCTCAAATAGCATCACTGAGTCTGTCTACTAAATTCCTTAAGCTGACTTTCAAGACCCCTACAATCTACCTCACAATCTGAGAATTTTAGTGGGCTAGAAATTCCAGGTAGATCAGTAGTGTAATATGACAGTAAAAAAGAATTAATGTGGCCTTTTTTTGGTATGGGCTATGAGTTAAGAATGGTTTTTACATTTTAAAATACAATAAAACTTTCTTTGCACTTAGGCTGTACAAAATTGGTGGCAGCAGGCCAAAATGGGCTGTAGTTTGCTGACCCCTCTGTTCTTGGCCATAGAAGGCAAAACTATGAGTGTGG